CTCTCTCTCTCTCTCTCTCTCTCTCTCTCTCTCTCTCTCTCTCTCTCTCTCTCTCTCTCTCTCTCTCTCTCTCTCTCTCTCTCTCTCGCTTTCCCTTTTTCCTTTCCTGCCTTTCTCAACCTTTCTCACTCGATTTTCCCTCCTCCGGGGATTCCTACACTTTGCTCGGGCTTTTGAAATTTGGCTTCGTGGAACTTCCAGGCGTACGGCTGTTCTATTCTCACACGATTCATTGACCTCCGTACTGCGCGTCTGACTTCATCACTATGTTCTCCCTGGCTGATCTGACGGTTGCTCGAACCGTTTTCGATTTTACACCTGACGGAGACGGTTGTTCGGACACATATGGGTATGATCCTCTTTCCATGCTCTCTCCCTCTCCGACTACCTTCCTTCCTGGCTCCCTCTCTTTTCTCTCCTCTACTACGTGTCGACGCTGGTTGCGTATGGACTATGTGGAGAGAAGGCTACTCATGAGATAGATAGATAAGATATTTAAACCGAGGACATCCTATGCCATGGTACGCGTTTTTTCGTCCCCTGACGAGACCGTCTCTGGCGGGCGGTCGAAACGATCGTAGGGATAACACCACCACGACACTGTTTTTTTTTCATGTTATTTTTTACTTGCCGATTTTATCTCGCGTATTTGTGTCCATGGCTCTCTTCGTGTACCTTATGTCCTTTTCTTTGTCCTGCTTTCGTCTCATGTCTTTTTCATGCCTTATCATCTTCTTCACTTCATGATTCTCTATGTGTCCCCCGTCAGGTTTTCTCATCATTTTTTCGTTTTAAATGCTTTGATTATTTGCCATGCCTTTGCGGCCTACTTACGCAGCTTTTGCGTCACCCCATAATCTCTTGGTAACGGTTGTAACCACCTCATCATTCGTGGATTGGTGTAATCGTTTTGGCGATTGTGATCACTCCTTCTGGTTTGATCCTTTCCCATATTGCTTCATTATGTCGGGTTGATCGGCCGATTTCATTATAATCTGTTGCTCTTCATCATTCTTTGTTTACAGTTTGTCTTTTCCTCGTATGGAATCCTTAATCTATTATCGTGTTCGCATTCTAACTCCCACCTGTAGATTTGTTGTTCTTGAATCCCGTTTTATTGGATGTTTTGAGTGTTTCATCCGTGAGCTGGTCCATCTTGTTCCGTCTCCGCAAGCAAGTGGTGTTGTCAGTATTTTCGTTTGCGGGATTTCTCCTGCGCGCTCAAGACATGGCTGAAGGTGGGCCTTTCCAATCCTTTGAGCGAGTCTGCTACAATTGTCGTCAACCAGGATATTTTGCAAGGAAATGTCCTTATCCACGACCAGATTCTCTGATTTCGGGCACTCCAATCGGAGGTTAGGGGGGGGGGGCTTCCTCCATACCCTGCGCCCCATGCCACGTACGCTTCTGCTGCGGCAGCTCAACCGGCATACGCGCCATCTGCACCGCTGCTAAGTCAAGCTCTTGTGCATCAGCAACACTCTGCTCCATCGTCTTCAATGACACCTGCGCCTAACTCTTCAGCCCTGGTACCTTACAGGCCATCGCCGTCTTCGGCCCCACTGCCACCTCTCCCTTCGGGGGCTCCCTGGATCCCGAGGCAGGGTCTAACGATGGTGAGATGGTATCGCTGCTCAGTGAATTGGTTAATGATTGGAGGGAAGAGAAGGATCGAAGGCGTGAAGCTGAGGATTGCCAGTTCAGAGAGGAGCAAGCCCGTTTGGCGAAGGAAGAAGAGAAGAAACGCTTGGAGGATGAAGAGATGCGTCAAGCCGAGAAAGAAGCTAGGATGGCCAGGATGATGAACGCTAAGATGGAGGAGCTAGACAAACAACACCAGGCGAGGATGGATGAGAAAAACAAGAGGATATGGAAGGAGATTGAGAAAGTGGTTGGGGATCCTAAGTGTTCCAGGAAGGGGAAGGAGCAGGTGATTGATGATTTGGACTCTCGCAAGAGGCAGCAGGCAGAGATGGAAGGCTCTCCTCCTGTTCTCCCTGCTCGAGGCCGAGCGCGCTGTGAGAACCCTCTGATGACTGCGCTCCCCAATCTCAGTCCTCTTGACGCCGGTCTGCTTCTTATGGAGTTGGATACTGTGAAAAGAACGCAGGATACGCAAGTTAGTTTGGTAAGAAAGTGTATGGAAGTTTTGCACAAAATAGAGACGAAGTTTGCCTCCACGAATTCTCAACCTGCGGCTGCTCCCATTCCACCCCCTGCTGCGAGGCAACGGCAGGCTGGGCCCAGTGAGCCTTCGATTGCGCCCTCTGCTGCTCCACCACCATCCCCTTCCCATCCATCACCTCCCCCTCCCCCTCCCCCTCCGCCCCCTCCCCCTCCCCCTTCGCCGCCTCCTTCTCCCCCACGTCCTTTCTGCAAGAAGCCTGCACCCTCCCCTGCTGGCCCTTCCTCTTCCTCACACACAAAAGTTGATGCTAGTAAAACTCCTGCTGGTAATCGGTTCTCTGCTCGCTTGGCAGATATGTTCGTATCTGTAGCTGCAAACGTGGGTAGAAGACGTTCCGTTTCCCCGGCTAGGCGAGTGGTCGATGATGAACCTCTCTGTTTTGACAAGATTAACCCTGGAAAGAAAGCCGCCATGGCTTCGTGCGGTAAGGATGGCACGGTGAAATATGTAGAGGATTTAAAGAAGGAGTTGATGGCGAAATCGAAATACCAATTAGAATCGTTGTGCAAAGCTGATAGTATCAAGTATTTTAATAAGAAACAAGCGTCTAACGATCTTGCGGAGGTTCGGGCTCGTGATGCTTACGGTGAGGATTCAGATGAGGAAGGACTTGACAACATTGCTACTGGGATCCAAAAAGAGAACCCTTCTTGATAATCTCTAGACCCGGCCTGTATATGGGGATACATTCATCGTACCATCCGTCTACGGGCCCTTTCCAATCGTAGATGCTTGGATTGGGAGGTTTTGGAAGCCTGGATGCGTTTTTTGATTGTTGTGCTGGCTTGTTCGGGACAACTGACCTGGGCTGGTAAATTCGTCGGAATCTGGACTGACCTTTTTCGTTCAGGCTTTGATATTTTTTCCCCCAATGGCCACTGTCTGTACGTACTTATATCCCCTTTTTTTCGAGTCGTTTATATAGGGTCCACGTCTCGTAGTATTTCTATTAGATGGCTTGAACATGTTAAGGCTGCTGTAGGATGTCCTGTTCTCCGAAATCACAAATTGCTAAAATGGTTCAGGAAAAAAGGGTCTACATCCTACGTAGCAATTCCTTTGGCCTTTCTGTCCATTGATGATTTAAGGAAAGTGGAAGGAGGGTTTATCTCGCACTGGTGTCTTATTCTCAACTCTCGAATTGGTGCAAAAAAACATGGCTGCAAAAGAAGAGGAAGAAGGGAAGGAAGAGCTTACCATAGGAAGAGAGGTTACATGGTCAAGCGCCCGACATCGGATCAACTAGTTACTTTTACCACTTCGCCAGGTAGTGCTCTAATCCCACCGAGTTCTATTCCTCGTTTTTCTCTTATATCGGAACTGAACAGTTGTTTGGACAATGGTTCGGTTGTCATCACTGTACGTTGTACCTCTGACACGTTTTTTATGGACGCATGGAGTCGAATTTCTAGGAATTTTGGTTGGTCGTCGGTTATGCACAATGGGAAAACCACTATTCTGAAGGATCGACGATCAGAATTTTTGCTAGGTGGGGTCTTTTATTTTACGTGTGTTCGACGACATTTTGATGGTAGAAATAGAAGAAGGTGCATCCTTCTTGCTCTGTTACATGTCCCTTGGACGAGGTCGCTGCTCTGGAATTTTGAGATTGGAATTCTTATCAAGTTATATAACACCATTAAGGTCTTTTTCGCCAATCGTACTAGAGGAATTTTGAAAATAGTAGTTGGTTCGGTGCTTTCGAACAAGGTTGGTTTCTATTGCACTTCCAGAGTTGTGGTTAAGGTAAGATATGATCTTAGAATCAATAAGTGCACCATAGCTCAAATCACCAAAGTTTGTATCAGAAAGCGGGTTGAGCCGGTTTGTCTGGCGGATTTTTTGATAAATAAGCTTCGTATTGTTTGGACCGGTAACAAATCAATTGGAAAAATAATTCACAACCATCGGTATTTCGCTAAGGAAATCTCGAACGAGTGTTCTTGCAAAACGTTTTTGGACTTTCCTCGGAATCAGGAGGGTCACGTCTCCTTCCGGTTCTCTGAATCACGGCATATATCGTTTGTTCTTCTAAATTCTAACAATATTTGTGCTCCTCCCAATGATGTCTCTGTAAGTCATGTCCGAGGGGCGATTGAAACTAGTCTTAGTAAAATTCCTTGCACACCGAAGTTCCGTCCATCTCTTAGAACGATTTTCAAATGCTTTCGCCCACCCCAACTCAACTTCCCCGTTCTCCACCTAAACTCTGAAGACCTGGACTGGTTACATAGCCTCGAAGGTTTGGTTACAATGCCCATTGACCACAACATTGGGGACACTTATGTTTGTTGCCCGTTAGTTTACTCTGATGCTATGAGAGAGTTATTTATCCACAATCCTGGGTTTGTGGCATACTGTCGCGACGAAATCTTAATACATGTAGGAAGCACTTCGGTAATCTGCATTGCGACCAAATTGCTTGGTGGAATGTAAAAGGAAAGATTGAATGTAGCTATGTGATTCCTAAACACAAGGATATCACCAGATGGAGGCCCATCTCCCCTTCCTTTTCGGAACCAAATGTCCGCTTTAGCCGTATTGTAGGTCGAGCTGTGAGTATGCTTCTGTGGAATCTTCCCGGTGATAAGCATTTCAATATTAAGTCCACTTCTTTGCTAAAAAGTCGGATCGGCAAGATTGATGAAGGTGCGGCACGACAAAAAAATGGCTTCATACTATCGGCTACCTTCGATATAAAAGAGATGCTCACCAAGCTACCTCACTCATCGATTATCCAAGCCGCTATTTGGATTTGCCATTTGTTTCAGACGAAAGGTTTGACTTCAGTGTACATCAGTAAAACGAAAAAGGAATCCTCTTTGACTAAGAAGTCTCCTGACAAAGGCTGGGTTAGAGTTGGTTTTCGCATGTTAATCAAAATGTTGGTCTTTGATCTGGAAAATACTTTCATTAAAGCTGGGTTTGTAATTCTTAAGCAAATAGTGGGAGTGCCCATGGGGAACAATTCGAGCCCTGCTGTGGGATGCCTATTATGCTCGTTTAATGAATACGTGTTTATCTCGTCTCTAGGGACTGACAGCAGGTTCATCTCTGGGACTAGACTGATTTATGACGCAGGAATCTTTCTTATTTTTTCGCAAAGATCCCTCGTTTACCTTCACAAGGCAGTCTCGATCTATACTCGTTTTCTGAATTGTTACGACAAAAACCTCTCCCTCATCCACACAGACGATCGTTCCGGTGTATGGAATTTTTTGGGATGCTTGGTCACGTCCTCTTTTTCAGCTCCAACGGTCAAGTGTGTTGCTACTATGAAAAATCAGGAGTTCACCTTCACTTCTAATCCTATCCGATTCCTTTCTACTCAGGGCTTTTCATCTTATGGCCCTAGACAACAGAAGAAGGGGATTGTTTTTTTTCATTTAAGTAGATTACTGGCCCACTCCTCCGATAACAGAGGAGTGGGACTAAGTTTGCTTGTTTTAAGGAGGGAGCGTCGTTTAAAAGGATTCCCTAGGCATTTTTTCCCAAATTCCCTCTCAAAATTTTCCAACAGTCGAAGTATGATTTGGGACCCTTGGGCCTCTATTTTGTCGCTTTTAGATTAAGCGCGGTCATGAGGTTCCGATCACCCATCTGGGGGTTCGCTGGTTTGTACTGCGCTTGCTGATCACCTGTTTCAATTCGCTGATTCTGTACATACACAGCTTTGGGTATGTACTGCGCTTGCTGATCACCCGTTTCGGTTTGTTTTGGGGCCCTGATCACTTGTTTGGTTCGCTGGTCTGTACCTATGCAGCTTCGGGTCTGTATTGCGCTTGCTGAGTACAGGCCAAACCCCTTCGATTTAAGGAGAGCTTCAGCAGGTTCTTTGGTTCGATTTTTAGGCTCCGGTCACCTGGTTGGGGGTCCGCTGGCTGTACCGATCTCAAGTGGCTACTGAGGGTGGGGGTTTTGCGGCGGGTCCTACATATGGCCTCTACTGTGCTGCTATGCCATCTGAGCCTTTCGTCACAAAGTATTTAGATCTTGTTTACGGACGTTCTCAATCTCTCTGCCGAAGTATACTGACATCTCGGCACAAGTGCACGTTCCCTCCCTCGCTTACGCCACCCCTGCAGCGTTTTGCTTTCTTTAGTATGATCCAATGGGCTCCATCTCCGTGTTCTTCCCGCCCTCATTTTCCTGATCTTCCCTTCTCTCTCTCTCTCTCTCTCTCTCTCTCTCTCTCTCTCTCTCTCTCTCTCTCTCTCTCTCTCTCTCTCCCGCTTTCCCTTTGTTTATAAGTTGCTACGTCTCTCTCTCTCTCTCTCTCTCTCTCTCTCTCTCTCTCTCTCTCTCTCTCTCTCTCTCTCTCTCTCTCCCGCTTTCCCTTTTTCCTTTCCCGCCTTTCTCAACCTTTCTCATTCGATTTTCCCTCCTCCGGGCATTCCTACACTTTGCTCGGGCTTTTGAAATTTGGCTTCGTGGAACTTCCAGGCGTACGGCTGTTCTATTCTCACACGATTCATTGACCTCCGTACTGCTCGTCTGACTTCATCACTATGTGCTCCCTGGCTGATCTGACGGTTGCTCGAACCGTTTCCGATTTTACACCTGACGGAGACGGTTGTTCGGACACATACGGGTATGATCCTCTTTCCATCCTCTCTCCCTCTCTGACTACCTTCCTTCCTGGCTCCCTCTCTTTTCTCTCCTCTACTACGTGTCGACGCTGGTTGCGTATGAGCTATGTGTGGTTTCTAAGCTGGACTATGTGGAGAGAAGGCTACTCATGAGATAGATAGGAAAGATATTTAAACCGAGGACATCCTATGCCATGCGTTTTTTCATCCCCTGACGAGACCGTCTCTGGCGGGCGATCGAAACGATCGTAGGGATAACGCCAGCACGACACTGTTTTTTTTCATGTTATATTTTACGTGTCGATTTTATCTCGCGTATTTGTGTCCATGGCTCTCTTCGTGTACTTTATG